CAATTTCACCCATCAGTTTTATACTGGCACAGCAGACAGATAAGAAAGCCTTTCTGTATCTAAGCTGGTTTTCTTAAACTTATACATACCCCTCAGTGCACACTGGGAAAGGGACAGTATTTGGAGTACTCCACTATGGATAAGAGAACACAAGATGCAGCAACACGAGTCACAAATTCAAAGTCTTACTCGGTCAGTTACTTGCTGTGACTACAAACACATCATAAACTTAAGTCTGAGGATTCCACTCCTGGGGAAGCTTTCAGGTCACTCCCACTCTCCCAGTGACAAACAATGGCACCATGTGCATAAAGCCTCAGCACTATGAACATTCCAAGGAGCCACATTTTGTTAAAGGAGAAGAAAGCACTTGGCAACCAGTCAACTGTTTCCTTCCAAGAGAGACCATCCCATCTGACTGACTGACCAAGGAAGGGATAAGCACCGCCAGCCCTCCCTCAGCAATCTATGTAATCTTCATCTGAATTTAAAAGCGCTAGCAGGACTGGTGCCATCCTTTCTGCTAATAAGAAGCAGGGCAAGGCTCGATGCCCAGACTCTACCCACATGCACATGTTCTCACCATTAGACATCAAATCATCCAAGGACTCACAAAGGCCACATCCTTGAAGCCTAGTCAGTGCCTGGACCAAAACATCCCCCTTTTTATCTTGTAACCTGGTTGTCCCTTTCCAAGACAAGCCACTACAGATACTATGGAGCTGTTCCTTATCAGTCTGAACTGTCCTCCTCTTGATACCTCCTCTTCTAGGCTGGGTCTCAAGTAGATGAACAGTGATTTCCATGCTCCTAGAGAACTGGGTAGGATTCTGAAATTCAAAATGGCAAGTATATGGGCTGTTACAGTATAAAAGAGTAGGTGGGCGAGTGTGCTGAGATGGCTACAGGTTAGCATTTAAGGCTTCAAAATTGGCCAGGTTAGTCAGTCATTTTTCAAAGTGTATATATGTGGGTCATTTAGGTGTTGAGGTGTGGATCAAAAGATGAACATGTTAGATAGGTAAATATTCCCATTAGATGCCAAACTGTTATAAAAGTCAAGATAAAGACCATGTCAAAAGCTGCAGTTCTATATAAATGAGGATTGGAAAAAGGAAAGCAGGCTAGATGGACAGGCAAAGGTCTGAGAAGTCCAATGAGAATCATGAATTTTATCCCAAGGTAACAAATGCCCAAGCCTTTCCTCTGTTCCCCTGGGTTGGCTCCCTACAGCTAAGCACTTCACCAGTTTAGCTGACTAGGGAGGTCTGGAAACATTTTCCCATTTCTCTCTAGCCCCCTCACACCAAAGATATTGGCTGAAAGTGAGAAGTACATCCCTAGTTGGCTTCTGGGCCCACTCAAGTCAGAAAAGTCAAAGTCTCAATTACCTACATAGCCATTAAGGTCAGACTATTGCCCAGTTAGCCAAAGAGCTTGCAAAGGCAGCTGATTGACAGTGTAGAGTAGATGCCTACTTCCACTGAGGAGCATCTGACTCATTCAGCCTGGACAGCCAGATATGGAAAGAGGGATAGGAAAGAAATAGCTCAAAGCATGGCCTGACAGTGTGGCTACGGACACCTCCAATAAAGATTTCCTTACTATTGTGAGAAGCTAGCAGAGAATGCCTGGCAAGTTGCTGCTCTGGTCCCCTGTCACCTTGGGAGTTTTTCTCCAGGTTCTTGGCCTGACTGGCCGCCTGTCTGTCAGTGTATCTTCAGGTGCTAGGTAGAGTCCAAGAAGAAATAACTAAAGAAAGAGTCAGAATGGAGCTACATCCAGTGCTCCATCACTTCTGGATTCTGAGTTTTGGGAACAGGAAAACAGTGAAAAGGTAGTTAAAAACAATCCTTCTGATATAAGTTCTGGGAAAATCCTTAGACTAAGAAGAGGCTGGACTTTCCCTAGTGGTGCAACGGATTAAAGCACAGCACTGCGATGCTAGCTGCAGTCACTTCAGCTCAAGTTTGATCCCCAGCCAGGGAGGTGACACCTATCACCCACTGCTCCCCTCAGCAGTGTACTTCGTGGATCTGCCTATTCTGCTCCCCACTCTGTCTCTGGTGAATCCTTTCACCGCCCCTATGCCTCTGGCCTGTACCCCAGTCCTATATGCATAAATAAATAAAATCTTTAAAAGAAGAGAGAGTAGAGACTGTCTACTAACAAGCTGACTCATGTCTGGAGCTTCTGGGTGTGCTCAGAGTTACTCTCCACCACAGATCTGGATCATCTCTATTTTACAGATGATAGAACAGAGATTGAAAGTGTTAAACTTCACAAAGTGACAGAGCAAAAGCAAAGAGACTTCACAACCACATTATTTTGGAGTTCTGGGCCCAAAGTGCCAAGATGGCAAATTATCAGCTGAAGTTAAAATAGCAGTAAATTCTATAATTTACTTAAAAATAAAGTTCAGGCCCTCCCTGGTAGCGGGTTAAAGTACTGCACTAAGAAGCTAAAGCCACTTCCTCATGAGTTCGATTCCTGCCTGCCCCAGAGATGACCACATGGCGTGGCAGACCTCTCCTGACCCGCCCGCTGCTCCCCTCAGCAGCATACTTCATGGATCTGCCTGTTCTGCTCCCCACTCTGTCTCTGGTGAAGCCTCTCGCCTGTACCCCAGTTCTGTGTGCACAAATAATAAATAAATCTTAAAAAAAAAAAAAAGTTCAATGACCATAGTTAGTTTGGTCTAAAGCATAAAATGCTCAAGCCTATACTGATATAAGCAAATGACTGAATACAGAAATAAATGGGAGAGAAAATATCCTGTGCAGAATTTCAAACAATGTGTGGCTATTTAACCCTTTAAAGGGGTTGGTGCTAATTCCCCATCCTTTATGTGTGGGCTGCAATAAGGAACCTCCTTCCCAAAGAACAGTGTATGGGGAAAGTAGCTACTTCACAATATAGAAACCTGATGGATACAACCTTAGTGAGGTGATTCATAATTAACATTAACATTGGTTAATTTCTGTACCCTGTATATGACTTGAGATAAACATTTATTTTAGCAACCTTCTTCCCCAAACCCATAATCTGTCTAACTGGGGGGGGGTGGTGGTGGCGGAAAAAAAATCAGATAAACTGGCAACTGAGAGATGTTCTATGAAATACCTCACTAGTCAATGTTGTTAAGAACAATGCAAGACTGAGGAACTCAGTTAAGAGGTGCCTATGACGACATGACAACTAAAATTAATATGGGGTCAAAGAACAGAAAAAAATATATAGGAAAAGAAATCTGAATAAAGCATGGGATGATGTATTGACAATGGTTTCTTGACTGTAATAAATATACCATACCCATGTAAGATGTTAACAGTAGGGGAAGTAAGGGACAGGATACTGTCCTAAAAATAAAAAACAAACTCAAAAAGGTGGCAGATAGAGGACATTCTGCTCTAGGCTAGGTCTAGGAACCAGTCCTGGTCTGCCCACTGATGTCTATGCAACCCTGTGCAATAAGCCTCTTAGGAATCCATTCAAAAAGCAGTCCTGGCCCTCCCTGGTGGCGCGGTGGGTTAAACTTTCTGCTAATAAGAAGCAGGGCAAGGCTCGATG